ATCAAAGTTTATAGTGCATTTCATCAATTAATAAAAAAGTGTTCTCCACAATCCAAAATAGCTGGTAATTGGCTTAATTAGCATAAATTTGCATATTATTGTGCATGGCATTTGCATGCAATTTGTAGCATACATACATATATTTGCAGAAATGTATACACACTAAGAGTAATTCACTATTTTTTTCATTTAATTGAAACATTTTTACAAATTACAATCTTTGAAATACAAACAAATTGATATTATAATTTACATTCATGGAAATTAATATCAATATTTTACATAATGCCTGGTTCAATGATGGTGATTCATACATTCGCAAAATATCACAGATAATGAAATGTGTTTGATTTACGAAGAGCAAGTACAAAACGTAATTGAGTTTTAATGTAGAAAATATATGAGGTGATTTGTCAAAACATTTTTTTCTTGGCATCATTACAGTTAGTATATTAGTACGCACCGACCCATGTCAACGAACAGTACAACACATTTACACATGTATGGTCAGCTACAACACAGAGTTGTGGAATTCAAGAAAAAATACTAGCAATTGTCAAAATACAAGGTTATGTTCTGGGATGATTTGCCATAAAAGTATGTGGCCAAAAAAACTAAATATGTATTGTATACAGTTACAAATACTGGCAGTAAACTAATTTGGCAGCCATATTTGTTGTTTTTTAAACACCCATAATGCACTGTTTCTGATGCAACTTTGATGCTAGTGGATAAGGTGAACCAAGAGGTTATCAGCTTGCCGTTTCCCATGCTGTTTCATGATGAAAATCGAGTGAACATTGTAAATACAGCTAAAATTTTCACTTCGGTGTTTCAAAGCAATCTGCTATATTTGTTTATTTTCTGTGCATATACATTTACTTATTACTTGTGATCCCATCGGAACACGATTACTAAAAATAAGGCTGTAAATCAAAACTACAGTACTGTAGTTGTACATGTATATCTAAGCAATCAGCCTAAGTGTTCAACAATCAATTCAGGTGATTGACACATAGAAAAACGCCTCGCTGTTAATGTAGACATAATGTCAGTACGAAACATACTTGAATAAATTAATAAATTGCAGTGCCCATATTTGTCAACTAGCGGATGAATCAAATGCCACAGAATTATGTATTAGGTGTTTGCTGTTTCTGTTCATTCTTGTCATAGTAAATCCATGAACAATTAAAGCGAGGGAGTCATAGCGTGTCAGATGGCCATAACGTGTCGTTGTTTACAAACAAGTGTCTACTCATGAGCCTTTGCGCTTTTAGCGTGTGTTATCGTTGCTTGGGACTCAATTCCTGTTCGTGTGTAGGTGTCGGCGACTTGATGTTTTCTCACAGCTGAATGAGTGTCAGGAGATGAATGGATTTAGTGTGTGGTATTTTGTAGGTGATTGCATCAAAGAAAACTGATAACATGTTGCATTATAATTTTGTTCCGATCGCATCAGAAATACACACTCTAAAACGGCGACTCTCAACAAATGTACATATATACTACTTTATGGGAATGAACTTCACCAAAGATTATCTGTATACATGTATCTCCTGACGACTACTACCATATATGTTTATGCACAAATGTATTTGAATTGAATCAAAACAACCACAAGACAAAGTAATCGAACATGAACATGTACATTTTTGTATGCACAATGACTTTCTGCTTTGGCAGGAGATACTGTGCACAGGAATGAGGACTTGTCATCGTGCCTTTGCAGAGGTTGCAAGGGATAACATGAAAGTTTTGAAAATATGATGCTCTCTTGAAATGGCATGATGTCTTGACACATTTGTCAACCGATATAGGTGTACAGTACATGTATCCGATTCAGAGTCAGACGAGGTGCACTGAAGTCACCAGCTCGGCCTCTGAACTACAGTATCACCAAATGACAAAGCATTAATTTTTTATAACATACATTCATAACCAAAAAGAACTTTTTTCACCCTGCTAATGTTAACCCTGCTATGATCAAATCAAATGTATAGCAAATGTTCTGGAGTCCTTTTTGCAGACGGGTTCCAAAACATCAGACATATTGTTTTTATGACTTATGGTCGATTGCCTATGAAAAACTAGCCATTACACTGTACATGTATCTCCTATATTTCCTTGTATTAAGCTCCATTAAGTATTTCCTAATTGATATTCAATTTACTGTTTTGCAACAGTACTATTTATTTACATTGAAGTCACTATGCAGTTTGTATGCCTTGTTTTAGATGTTGTACTATATTAAAATTAGTGTTAGATATACTCAATAATTTATACTATTTGCTATACAATAAGGTAATCTGCTGGAATTTTCTGGTGTTTGTGGCCTCCATTTACAAATTTTTCAAACCCCTTGAATCTTCATTCATTTTTGAAATTTTTTTCTTCAGAGAATTGGTGGTAATGCGTTACCCACTCCATCAGTGACAGCTGCAATGGCTCAGGTCGACAGAGAAAAAATTTACCAGTGGATTGTAGAGCTGACTAATCCCGAAACTAGAGAAAATGCTTTATTAGAACTTAGGTTAGTGTTACAATTATTTTTATAAATAGTAATTTATACTGTGATTGTCTTGCATCTTGTAGATCCAAGTATAACCTTATGAACCAAATGAAAATACATTTCACTGACTTGTGATGAATTATTTGCTAAATGTATAAATTTTTTTGAAATTTTATATTGTGGATTAACTCAGATGTGTATGGAAATAATATACTCATATTACTAACACTATTGTTAATATTTTGACAGTAAAAAACGAGAAGTAGTTCCAGATTTAGCTCCAATGCTGTGGCATTCATTTGGAACGGTAGCAGCTTTACTTCAAGAGATTGTCAATATTTACCCATACATCAACCCACCACATCTGACAGTAAGTTTTTTCATTCTTTTTTATTGCATTGTAACTGTACATGTCCCAATGTAGGATTTGAGCATGGTTTAAACTTTACATTGGCATCGAACTTAGGCACGTCTTGGTGCTCTGTGGTACATGTACAATCGCTATTATTCATATACATGTATGGTAAAACAGTTTTATCAAATTTAGGTTTGAAACCAGGTGCCCTCTTAACTTTGAAGATCAAGCCCTGCTTAAACGTGAACCCTTAGACTGAAAGACATTTTAGAGAGGAGAGGCCTTTCATGACATCTGTGAATTTTGAGTGGTGTTTTCTTCAGATTTGATGTATGTTGCTTTTTACATCCAAAAGATTTAGTTGTACATGTTATAAGTCATTCCAGATTAGAATTATGAGCAGATTAGAATTATGAGAAGGACTCCTCACCTGGCAATGTTGATTGGTGGTATTGTATTCTTTTTCAATACAACTGGTGGGCATAATATTAGAATTACAAAGACAGCTGATTTAGATAGTCGTCACCTTTTAGAGTAAATTGATATTCACAAACTCTATCACAAACTTGTAGTTGTTGTATTCATATGAGAGGTATTTTTACCTTGTCCGTATCATCGTAGATAAAGGTCATGTTATACAAAGAGAAAATATCTGTCCTTGTTGTTGCCTTTGACTCCCTTGTAAAACTGTTTCTTTCAGTTACAAAAACTCAACAGTTTTCATTCAATTCCTTTTAAACTTTGATATTACATGAAGCAGTTTGGGATCTCCGCCTCGTTTTATTTTGGTTTGTGTTCTACATGTATATTCCAAGATAACGGTTAAAATTGTCTTCTTCTTGGAATTATCAACACTATTAAATGTCAATGTTCAATTTTGATGCAACAATAAAGTGCAATTTTCAAAATATGTGGTGAAATTTGGCTGAAATAAGACATTTGTTAGATATAGAAATAAGTAGACAGAATGAAGATATTTATACTGCTGATAATAAAAATTCAATGTTAGTAATATGCTCTCCAATATCTGTCAATTAGACTGTAGTAAACTGACATGTTGTTACATATATAAGTATAAATTAAAAAAGTGACAAGTGCGCTTTCTTAATCTGGAAAATATTTTATTTTGCTTATACAGTATATATTACGGCACTTTTATTGTTTATTATTCTATAAGACACATTGAGATTAATTACAATGCATGTGGTATTAATTGAACATTTTGGATTGTATTTTTTTGCCAAATTTGATTTAAGTATGTTGCTGTACTAATAAATGCTATGTTTGTTTTAAAGGCTCATCAATCTAATCGTGTGTGTAATGCATTGGCGTTACTTCAATGTGTAGCATCTCATCCAGAAACACGGTCAGCATTTCTACAAGGTAAAACAAACTATATATACAATTATATATATATATGTCTGAGGAAAAAACCTGAAAATTTATTGAGTCATTAAATTCATTAATTTGCTTCTGATTCTTCTTTTTTTTCAGCCCATATACCACTATTTCTTTATCCATTCCTTCATACGGTCAGTAAAACCAGACCATTCGAGTATCTTAGGCTAACAAGCCTTGGTGTGATTGGGGCCTTAGTTAAAGTAAGTTATACCCAGGTATCGTGATAGTTCCAGGTAACAAAGTAACTTGTCCATTTTCTGGTGTTCTCCTGGGATCCATCACATGGGTATGCAATGATCAGCTAAATGTATACATATAACCATTATATATAGTAAAGAGATAATTATTCATCCTGATTCTATTTTTTGAAAAACGCATTTACAATACAGCAAATACAGACAGGAACCAGATGATTATGCAGTATTATTGTAAATTTAGAACCTGATATTATATGATGAGATTTGGATTCTAGAAACAAATTATTATTTGGAGACATGCATGTATAGGGTTTCCTTCAAAGACTGCTGCAGACTAATAAACTTTTTCTTGTACTTAATGGCTCACTAGCTATCCACTTCTAAATACTGTGTGTGACAGAATACAGTCACTCACTTTGTTGATTGAGCCTTCTGGTTATGATCATCAGAAACCCTGTATGTTGAAAATTTATTGCCCTATCTACTAATATATAAGGTAGTTGCAATGCACAATTTCCAATTCACTGACGTAATTGTATGTATTTGAATGGCAGTTTTTACATACATGTAATAGCAACAGAACTGCATTGTTGATCTGTAAGCCTGCTGTTCTCATGCCACATGGTGGTGATGGTGGTATTGCAGTGTAATCACATATTGTACTGTGTAGTCTCATTAAGCACACAAATTGATCTCAAAGGGTGTGGCATCTGTATCATATATCAGTATACTTTGTATACAATTCAAAACTGACATCACTATCATTTTTATTTCTTGTATCTTTCAAGTGTAGTTGTGCTCACATGTGCTCACTATTTTTATCACAAATTCAAAGAGCTTTACTGTACATATTACCATACTCAGTATATTTTCACATAAACACTGATAATGTGTGGGCTCTAGTTATTGCAATTCGAACCATTAAATGCCACTGCTTAAAAGGTAAAACTCACTGCGGATATAATACAACATACATGTAACTCATATATTTATAGAAACTTATCATCCATTTCTGTTTGGCTGCATTGCAATATGTAAGGATTGCCAGATGTTCCTGTACTTCCATAAAATCACCATCCATGTCACAATGACTGAAGTGGTTATCTGTAACTTTTGTTGCTTACTGTCTTGCAGACTGATGAACAAGAAGTAATCAATTTTCTACTTACAACTGAAATAATTCCACTTTGTCTGCGAATCATGGAGAGCGGAAGTGAATTATCAAAAACTGTAAGTGTACTGCATAGAATATATTTAAATACTATCCCTATTCTTGACTAAACTGTGTTTCGGTTTTTGGATTACAGTCTTCGATAAATTAGTTTTGTGTGTGACCTCACAACTGCTCTACCCTGAGATATTCTTACATTTATTATCATAGGAAATATTGCTGAGCTTCTAGTATCCAACCTATAACATTCAAAATATATGTACATAAGGTCTATATAGTGGTTCATGCATCCATTTTTAAAACAGATATTGTAAAGTTACTAATTTTCACTGGGTTTAAACTTCGCTGATTTACCATTACAGGCATATTCAGTGGGTTTTAAATTCAGTTTTATCATTTAGATAATGTATTCTATGCTAAATTTTACATATTCACTGGGTTTTAATTTAGCGCATTTTCCAGTCAGTGAAATAAGCTAAATTAAGACCCAGTGAATAATTAACCCTTCTACAGTATTTCACAACATATATTGTTAAAAGTGAAATTTGAAATAATTGCTGTTGTTATACTAGTAACACAAATTGATTTGTACATTCTACAGGTTGCAACATTTATTTTACAAAAAATTTTATTAGATGAGACTGGTTTGTCATATATATGTCAGACATATGAGAGGTTTTCACATGTAGCAATGATTTTGGTAAGTACACTTAGCAATAATCATGGTAAGTGCACTTATATAGCAATAATCATGGTAAGTGCACTTATATAGCAATAATCATGGTAAGTGCATTTACATAGCAATAATCATGGTAAGTGCACTTATATAGCAATAATCATGGGAAGTGCACCTGTATAGCAATAATCATGGTAAGTGCATTTACATAGCAATAATCATGGTAAGTGCACTTATATAGCAATAATCTTGGGAAGTGCACCTGTATAGCAATAATCATGGTAAGTGCATTTACATAGCAACAATCATGGTAAGTGCACTTATATAGCAATAATCATGGTAAGTACACTTGTATAGCAATAATCCTGGTAAGTGCACTTATATAGCAATAATCATGGGAAGTGCACCTGTATAGCAATAATCATGGTAAGTGCATTTACATAGCAATAATCATGGTAAGTGCACTTATATAGCAATAATCATGGGAAGTGCACCTGTATAGCAATAATCATGGTAAGTGCACTTATATAGCAATAATCATGGTAAGTGCACTTATATAGCAATAATCATGGGAAGTGCACCTGTATAGCAATAATCATGGTAAGTGCACCTGTATAGCAATAATCATGGTAAGTGCACTTATATAGCAATAATCATGGTAAGTGCATTTACATAGCAATAATCATGGTAAGTGCATTTACATAGCAATAATCATGGTAAGTGCACTTCTATAGCAATAATCATGGTAAGTGCATTTACATAGCAATAATCATGGTAAGTGCACTTATATAGCAATAATCATGGTAAGTGCACTTATATAGCAATAATCATGGGAAGTGCACCTGTATAGCAATAATCATGGTAAGTGCACTTATATAGCAATAATCATGGGAAGTGCACCTGTATAGCAATAATCATGGTAAGTGCACTGCCACTTATATAGCATTAATCATGGTAAG